ATTTGTTTTATTCTTATATACTTTTGTGACTTTTTTTAGTTTTTGTTTCAGTTTAATATTGAATTTAGTTCACATACTTTATGTGTATATATTTTAAAACATAATTTTTCTTTTAAAAAATTAAGCGACAAAGAGCCTAATTAAACCGATCCAAAAATAAACCGAACTGGACATAAACCACACCGAACCAGACTAAATAAGGTTTATTTCAGTTGAAAAAAATATATTAAAACCGAACTAAACAGACCAAACCGAAAAAGTAATGATTTGTCCACCCTTACTGCATCCTAGAGATTTCCGCAAATTTTGTCTCAGCATTGAAACTCTCACTTGTTCCACTAACTCCCACATTTGAACTTAATAAATACTCTTATCTCAACATTATACTATATTTTTATACCCGCACAGGGTGCGGGTGGGTCACCTAGTATATATGAAAAACTGAAACAATAATTATTAAAAATATTTGATAGTGAAACTACTACTACTTTGACTTGTAGCTGACCACATTTATGGAGATATTAAAAGGTCCCCACCTATTGTCTGGAAGGTCATGACACAACAGTATCTTCTCTTTCTTTGACTCTTTGTGATCCCTAAGCCTAGACTCATGACATGTCGAGTTTCTATTGGCTTGTTCTTTGACTTTGTAATTTTTTTTAAAGAGAACTAGCAAATAAGTAAAATTCGAGTGAAAAGGTCACCACAGAACTTTGACAAAAATAACTCTCAGGATATAAAAGAAAACATATGTATAAATGGCCACTGTTCTCGTTTTTTACTCACTAATTTTAATTAGAAACGTGTTTGTCGCATCAAACTGATTCTCCCTTCGGCTCTACTAGTCTAGAAGTCATTGTCGTATCCATTACTTCAACTTCTGCTCCTTTCTTTAATAACTTGTTTCAATAATTTTTCAAAGATATAAAACAATAATAAATGTATCACTCTGATTTTTGTTTCCCGGCTAAAGAAGAAGGGATGTCACGTAAGATCCGCCATAAATGCTCTTTTTTTCTTTCTTTATTTCCTCTTTCTTGCAATTTGAAAACCTGAAAACCCTAGCCCACTTCTTTACTTTGTCTTAGCTGTTTTCGACAAACCCTAATGAGGATAATATCAATCACTCACACACCTTCAAAAGTAGAATATTTGTTCACTGAAATTATATTATCAAATCAAACGAAAATTACTTCAAGATCTACTCACCTCATTTTGCAACACACCATGTTTTTTTATCTTTTTTGTAATTTATATAAATCAAACTCAACGCTCTAGGATCTGCAAGTTACCATAGGTCCATAGGAAACCCTTTTTTAATTTTACATTTCTCAACAACAAAACAAAAAATCCGAATATTTGCAATCATGATTATTTGTTTTTGGACGACCTGTGGTTACTGTCATGAACATTAAATACAATATATAATAAATGTTGTACGAGTTTTGCGTGAAATAAATGCTCAGGGCCAGCTCGAAGCTCTCGCTGATCGTCCTTTCTCAGTTCTCTATTCCACACACAATCGTATTATTTCATTTTTTCCCCTATTTTATTTATTTTATATATATCTATATATAACTCCATATAGAATCATCGATCTTTAACTCACTGGTTCCTTCCTTCCCTTTGGCTTTTTATTTCATCTTTACGACATTAAAACCAGACCAAACCAAAAAACATTTAATAGTTTTTACCACCTTTTTAGAAAAAAAATCATCTCTTTTGATCCTATCTTCTCCTTTTTTTAACTTTGAAGGTTTGTCTGTCTCTTCTATGATGAGACTCTAACACTCTTTCTCTGTGTTTCTTCTTCTTCTTTAACCATAAGACCTTAAAAAGTTCGTTTTTTTTTAGCAAAATGGGAAGAACGCCTTGCTGTGACAAGAAGGGTTTGAAGAAAGGTCCATGGACTCCTGAAGAAGATGAGCTTCTCGTTGAGTATATCAAGAAAAACAACCATGGAAGCTGGAGAACTCTTCCAAAGAACGCTGGTAACAAACAAACAACTCACATTCTTTCCTTTTTAGGACTTTTGTTTACAAAGGTTCTATCTTTATTAGGTTTACTTCGCTGTGGAAAGAGTTGTAGACTGAGATGGACTAACTATCTAAGACCAGACATAAAGCGTGGTCCTTTCACTCCTGAGGAAGAGAAACTCGTTGTCCAACTTCACGCCATTCTCGGCAACAGGTCTTTAGCTTTCTTCTAAATCCTCTGTTTTGAATCCTCTGTTTTTTTTTTGTTTAAATGCTCTGTTTTTGTTTTTGGGTTCAGGTGGGCTGCTATAGCAGCACAGCTACCAGGGAGAACAGACAATGAGATCAAGAACCTATGGAACACTCACTTGAAGAAACGTCTGTTAAGTATGGGTCTTGATCCCAAAACCCATGAGCCATTACCATCATATGGTTTAGCCATACAAGCTCCAGCTTCACCAACAACACGCCACATGGCTCAATGGGAAAGTGCTAGGCTTGAAGCTGAGGCAAGGCTCTCTAGAGAGTCAATGCTTTTTAATCCTTCTTCTTCTGGAGGTGGAGTGAAAGCTGACTGTGATCACTTCTTACGCATATGGAACTCAGAGATTGGTCAGTCTTTCAGAAACCTTGCACCATTTGATGAATCAACTGCTACTAGTCAAAGCCCTTGCTCTAGGACAACAACATCTTCCTCATCAGCTGCAGTTCCAAAGAGCTCAACAAACTCTTGTGTTGGGAAAGAGATTGTTGTGAAGACTCATCATGGCTCTGATTCTTATTCTCCATGTTCTAACAATCTTGAAGATGTTTCATCAGACTCTGCTCTTCAGCTTCTGCTGGATTTCCCCATAAGTGATGATGATATGAGTTTCTTGGAAGAGAACATTGGTAGCTACTCAGAGTCTTCTCATGTTGGTGTTGTCTCTATGGGTTCCAAATTCTAATCTTATGGGGAAAAAAAACTCATCCAAGTAGTGATATGGTATCTATGTAAATCAGCATTAGTTAGCTATTAATATTATCAATCCTCTCTATGATTTGAAGATGCTTCAAAAAAAACTGCATGAGAATGAACAATGAACACATTTTAACACTGAATTTTACACAAACAAGATTACAAGCCATTGAATAGGGAACATAGTGAAATTTTTACAATTTACACTTGTAAATAACTAATCTTGCTTAAAAACTTATGCTAACTATGAAAATCAGCATTGGTTAGTTATTATCAAACCTCTTTGTGATGCTTCAAAAATTTGCTAGAAAATGAACAATTAACACATTTTTTTTCACACTGATGTTCACACAAAAAAAGTCAATATACAAACAAGATTACAAGCCATTGAATAGAGAAAGAGTGAAATGTTTACACTTTACAGTTTGAATAAACTCATTTGAAACTTTGATATAAAGATCAGAAACAACCACAGGTTGCCTTTGGGACAAGACCAGTGGCTCTGTATTTAGCAGCCATCTCTTCAGCTTTGAGAACATCTTCTCCACGCTTGGCTTCAATCATTGCTCTTCTCTCTTCTGCTTCTTTGTGAATCGCTGCAACTTTGTTCTTCATCTTCTCTGCATACTCTGCTTTCTTATTCTCAAGTTGCTCCTACATTCATAAAACACATCCATTTATCAATCACATTTTAAACAGTCTTTCTTTTGATTAATAAGTTTTGTTATTATTTACCTCAATTTTTTTGAGTTGGGCTTCAATAGCTGCTTTCTTGCTGTTCTCCCAAGCAAGAATATCAGAGATCTTCTTCTCAGCTCTGTACCAATGTCTCAATTGTTTTAGCAAATCAGACCAAAGAAAACTTTTTAAAAACCAGTTATAAAAAAAAGAAACATGTATTACTTGTTCTCTGCTTTGCTCTTTTCGCTATCTTCCCATGCTTTGACATAAGCCAATGTCTTCTCCTTTGACAAATCAGCTAGCTTAACATCTAACACCAACCAATTATATATATATATAGTTCAGTAACTTCCATAAACATTATAAAAAAAAAAAAACTACTAGACATAGTTTATGTTTCAAACTCACCTCTATCAAGCGAACCACCAGACGAAGCTTTCTCTGGTGCAGTCTCTACAGGTTCTGTAAAAAAAAACTCATTCTATTATTATAATTATAACATACACAGCCAAAGCCCCAAGTCTTGAAACACAGAGAGAAATTATACAACAAGCAAGACACATACTAATTATAGATATTAGGATCTCCTGATTATGTAATAAAGCTACTATTTATAGGTTCAGGGTCTTTTGATTGTGTAATAAAGTTACTATTTTGGGTTGTTGTTCATGCCATATACGTAGAATTAAATAACTGTATGGAAAACTTATCAAAGTTATCTAATTAAGAACAATTTTGCCACTAATTCATCATCAAAGCAGAAGATTATCAAAGAACTCAATCCATAAGTATGCATAGAGAGAAAGGACTTACTCTCAACAATGGCAAGGGCTTTTGAGTCATCAGAAGCTTTCTCAAGAGCCGGAGCCGGAGCAGGAGCCGGAGCCGGAGCAGGAGCAGGAGTTTCAGCCGGAGCTGGAGCAAGAGTTTCAGCCGGAGCCGGAGGTGCTGTGTCTAACGTTATCTTCTGTTCTTCCGCCATAGTCTCTCAGCCGAATATGAAACAGCGAATTAAACGATAATGAAAAAATTGATTAAAGGTTTATACTTTGGTGTTATACCTGTAAAGTTAATTAACCGCGTTTTCTGTTTTAAAAATTCTGTTATTTTCTTATCCGTCGATCTTTAGAAGTCATCAGATCGTACGGATGTAAAGAGAGTAGTCCGTTGTTGATCACGTAAGCCGCGGTACAGAGGAATATAAAACTCATCTTGCCGACAGACAGGTAATACTGTTAACAAGTGCCACGTAATAATATTTCTTTTTTTAAAGCACTACAGACTGGTTTCGGAATAATTAAAGTTTTTTTTTGTTTAAAATAATGATATTTGGGACAAAAGCGTGACGTGGAAGGAGGACACGCTGGAGACAGAGATACAAAGAGGATGTCTTTCTGAGTTGTCTTGACCCCACGCACGTTAGTGACGCGTGGTGGTTATCTTTTTAGCTCGATTGATGATGAGACGAGCCAATTATAATGGGCTTTCTATCTATTGGGCTGATTTCTATTTTGTAAGTTCATATTCTAAAAGGTCCAAAGAGCTACTTGACAAGGTTTGTTGACCAAAGATTAAACTACCCAAGAAGATTTTTGTTTACCAAACAACAGCGACATCGTTTGTATAACATTTGTCTCTGTTACATCATATATTCATATGAGAATCGATAAACCTTCTTGTAGAATACAGAGGCTTTCTGATTTACTATATTTATATTCTTTTCCATCTCTTTTCTAATTTAAGTGTCATAGTAAGTTTGAGGTTGACCATCTGTCTGGTAACCATATTTTATTAGATACATTTATATGGAAAAAGAATTGAGCTCTAGAAAAGGCCTAAGCATAAGTTTTTTTTTTCTTTCCTTTAACAGGAGAGTTCCGCAACTCGTAGATTCGTAGTCACTCCTGACCCGAAACCAGCCTTTGTTGATATCTTTAAGTGACGTAAAGCACTCCGCGGCCACACATGGTTTAGGGACGTATCGAATCCAAGAACGCTTCAGCCAAACGACTGCGCTTAACTTAACTGGAGACCACTAGCCCACCACCGCGTGGTTAAGTTTTCTAAAAAAAATTTTGTACTCAAAGGTAAGAAGAATTTTAGCTGTGAATCTATCGTTAATTTGATATAATTTCTCATTGATGTTAATCTTATTGATTCGAGTAACTTTTCTAGTAGTAACTAGTAAGAACGTAAAAAAAAATTAATCAAAAGTGGTTATCATTATTATTTAAAGAAGTCAAGAACAATAATCTCAAAGGGTCCTAACTGACTGATGAAAATTTAATTACTCGAATGTGCCTAACTTTCATTGACCTTTGATGTGCCTAATTATTTATTGACTTTGGTGCCCCTATAGTCTGAGACCTGTCAAGGTTTGATAAGCTACTAAATTTTAATTGGACACGTTCCATTATAGTTATGTTGTGCGTAACAGAATAGCCTCTTACAACGAACTTCGTTAATCCCATGAAATGTTTTGAAAGAAAATGATACATCTTGAGTTCTGAGTATTACATTTTATTTTATCTGTATCCGATATCAAAAATCGTAACCTAAAGCACTCTATCACTTATGGTAGAATTTAAACTACGATCAGTCGATTTTTAAAATCCAAAACACGTAGATAAGATGTTATAAACAATGCATGGCAGTCTCTAGAGAATAGAGTTGCGTATAGGTTAGGTTAAACGAGGAGACTAAACAAGAGTGGGGAGTCTAGCTAGTGAGCATTAACCAACCCAACCCCTAATTAAGTGACAGTTCAAAGGCTTCGATTTACTCTCTTTAGTCTATTGTACTCTCTATTTATTATCTAATCTCTTTCGTTAACTATTTGTTACATACTCGTTAAAGTAAGACCAGAGTCATGCATCAACGGGGCAAAAGAATCATGAAGATGAACACCAACGACGAACAAAACAAAATGGTGTCGTATCATGGGAAAAACCTCGTGAAAGCTACTGTTTTCATCGTTATTTCTCTATTCATACTTGGCTATTTCCATTTTGTGAGTTTTTAAATAACGAATATATTATATATATCTACTTAACTTTTTCATGGTGCATGCATTTGTCACTGCATTCTATAGTATCTAAGCTTTGAGTTATAACTCTTTTTCCTTTTGTCAGAATGATTCTGCAGACTTCAAACAAATAACAAAGATAAAGGATGAGCCTAAATTCCCTTACCAATGCGACGCCGAACAGAACCAATCACATCAAGTTCATGTCTCCCAGAATCCTGCACCGAGACTAAATTACCACCGTTCGCAACATGCCACCTGTCCTTCTTATTTCCGTTGGATCCACGAAGACCTCCGTCCGTGGAAAGAAACGGGGATAACTAAAGACATGGTCGAGAAAGCGGGAAGGACGGCGCATTTTAGACTAGTGATCCACGATGGCAAGGCGTACGTTAAGAGATACAGAAAGTCAATTCAGACAAGAGCTGATTTTACTCTGTGGGGAATCTTACAGCTGTTACGGTGGTACCCTGGGAGATTGCCTGATCTCGAGCTCATGTTCGACGCTGATGATCGTCCCGTCGTGCGATCTGATGACTTTAGAGGTCAAAACATGGACCCACCTCCACTCTTCCGTTACTGCTCTGATGATGCCAGCTTGGATATTGTCTTCCCTGATTGGTCCTTCTGGGGCTGGTAAGCTACTGGGCTTGCTATTAATTTATAAGAAGGTCTTATTTGTAATATGGGCTTTTAATGGGCCAGGGCTGAGATCAACATAAAGCCATGGGGGAACTCGCTGGAGGCAATAAAAAAAGGGAACAACATGACGCAATGGAAGGATCGCGTGGCGTACGCTTATTGGAAAGGCAATCCTAATGTGGACCCCGCGAGAAAAGACCTTCTCAAGTGTAATGTTTCCGAACATGAAGACTGGAATACTCGACTCTATATTCAGGTTCTACCATTAGAAAATTATTTAGTTTATATCAATGTTCTAAAAATTGATAGGTGGTAACTAGGCGTTCTATGGAAGATTAGCGCCTAGGCAAGTTATTCAGGATCTAGGTGGACGTTAACAAATTATTGATTTATTTTATATATATTTCACATTTATACAAGCTATTTTAATTTTTTTGTTAATTATAATTTTCTTTTAATAAATTATCAAAATTAGATATACAAAATAAAATAAATTACACAAATTTGTAATATTTTACTAACATTAGTGCTTAATTTAACAGATATATATTAATTTAAACCGATTATAACCGATTTGAAGCTCGGATTTTTTTTTAAAAAAATCGTTTTGGTAAATAGGGAGTTACCGCCTCGTCCGTCTA